TTAAATAAAAAATAATAATTTTTTTTAAATACTTGATTCTTATCCACACTTACTTGGAATACAAAGTCTCATGAATAAGATGCATAACATATCATCACTGGGACTTTAAGAAGAGACTGCCCTTAGAGATGCATAGCTCATGACTGACCACTATGGCATGCTTGCCTTCCTCTGAAGCAGCTTTTTCTGGCTAACATCAGATACAGGTTACTGGACTAGAAAAAACACTGGAATGATCTGGGCTGGCAATTCCTATTGTCATATGTACTCCTCACACGAAAATCTGGCCCCAGTAAAGTGAACAACAAAACTTCAATACCCGTTCGTTAATCTGTTTTTTTTCTGAGTTGTCTGCAGCTTACTTCAGGCAGCACAAGAAGAGGGTATTACACTGTTATTGTATTTCAACACTGCCTCATAGGGCTGTTTTATTATGCCCTGATTCAGCTACTTTCTTTCAGTTTTGCGGTTCTAAATGTCCCTCTGGATCTTGTGTCATTAGATAAAACAAAAAGATAAGCATTTTGTAGAATTCCTACCACACACTCCTGCAGCGTTTCAGTGCAAAGTGATGCAACAGTCAGACATTCCCTTGGGGAGACGGAAGATGCACTATGCAAAGTTATAGGAATGGATTTCATTGTACGTTTTGCAGTTTACGCATCTCCATTTTCAAACAATAATCACTAACAATACCCGCAGAGGACTTTTCAGTATAACATGCCAAAGCTCTTTACCAGTATGTACAGTGTGATAGATAGGGGTGTGCAAAGTGAGCACTAAAATAGGGGTGTGTGAAGCGGGCACTATTCGATTCGGATTCAGCCCGAAATCAGGGACAATGATTCAATTTGTTGATTCAGATCACTGTCCCTGATTCAATTAGGCTGAATCCGAATCTGAAGATTCAAGGCTGATTCAGACATAGATGCAGCTTTAAACGTTTTTTCTACATACCTTGGGGTAGCAGCACAGCTCACGATCGCTGTGATGCTGGGGCGCACGAAGCGTCTCACGGGAGTGCGGGGGGGCCCCCACATGCTTGGCAGCGAACCCAGAAGTGGACCAGAAATACTTCTGGTCCACTTCCGGGTCCACCAGGGAGTGTGCTGGGGGCGCCCCCTGTGCTCCCTCAGCTCAGTGATCGGCTGTGGGGGACCCCGGATGTGCGCCCAGACCCAGGAGGCACCAGTCACCAAGCTGGGAGGGTGCGGGAGGACCCCCCTGCATGCTTCCCGGCAGACCCAGAAGTGGGCTGGAAGTGCTTCTGGTCCACCTCCGGGTCTGCTGCCAAGCACGCTGGGGAGCCCACCGTGCTTCTGTGGGACACTCCATCTGCCCCAGCATCGAAGCGTTCATGAGCCGCCTGCTACCTAGAGGTATATAGAAAAAACATTTAAAGATGTGTCTATGTCTGAATTGCTGAATCTTCCGAAGCTCTCCAAATCGATTCGGAGGGTTCTGCTTCAGTTCGGAAAGATTAAAGTGTCCTCTGATTCGATTTGGATTCGGAGATTTGGCCACCAAGGGTTCTGGTTCGATTCAGAGAGATTAAAGGGTCCTCTGATTTAATTCGGATTCAGATATTCAGCCACTGAACTGGGCCAAATCTCCGGTGAATCGAATCAGGGACCTAAGCTTCATATAGCCCTGAAGGAAGCACTGTTATCCTTAAGGCCTAACTGTATGGGACACTTAGCATGTGTTTTATCTGAGAGTGTAATAAGCATTACTGTGTTTTGTAGTAAAAGTAAGAATATGTTCAGAGCAGTCGCCCAGTAATGTTTATTACGATGGAGGACTGTTAGTCTCAGCCCTCACTCAGCACCAGAATCGTGTACCAGCTCTAGTGCTGGGCTCGGGCTCATCTGACAATTAGATGATTTTCAGTCCCAGCCCCTGCACCGCACCAGAATCTTGAACCATCTGTGGTGAGGTGCTGGGGCTGAGACTGAAAATCATTTGATTGCCAATCTCAGCCCCAGGACTGCACTAGAACCAGTTCAAGACTCCCATGCAGTCCTAGAGCTGATAGTCACAGTCAGTGGATTGTAGGTCCCAGCTCCAGGACCACAATGATCTCTTTGGAGCAGTCCAACATGAGCTCAATGCATGTTTCTTAATATGAACTGGAGATACTTCTCACTCAAAAAGGCATAGTTTTGCTACAATACAACATGATAGGAGATCACTTAGCACATGTTATCCTGCTTGAACACACGGACACTGGTGCTTTAAGTACATTTAACATGTGCTACGTGTCCCATGTGACATGGCCCTAAAACAAGATAGTGACAAAAGTCAAAATTAAAACCAAGGCATCCTTTGCTCTAGCTATTAGATAAGTCTTTCATTAATTTGAACTTGGAATAGTAAAAATTTCTAAATAATTAAGACACAATTCATAAGTTGAAAATAATGTGAATGATGCCTTTCTTGAAAGCTAGGGAACCACAGAATTAAAGGGAGATAAAATGTGGTTAACTAATTGAGGACAGTTCCTGTTGAGCAGTTACATTCAATAAAGGTTGGTCAATGCAATTTGCTTCTGATTTTCCCTTTACATTGCATTATGTGAAATAATGGGTTCAGTGGACATATATTAACTGATGTTGCTTCTTCCTATTTAACATTTCAAAGCTCTACCTATCAAAATTCCCATCCAAGTCACTGTCATATCATGTCTTGATTACTGCAAATTCCTTTTCAAATCCCAGCACATGTGAAAGCCCACAGAGAAATTCATGGAGGGGCAGAGCTATGACTGATGGGCTTGCAGAAGGGCAGAGAAATCCAATAAAAAAAGGGAAAGGAAACAACTGGAGATCTGGAAGGCTGTTTTTTTCAACTACAGGTCCTAAACTGTGCATGTTCAACATGGACATTAAATTGTGAACACAAGTTCACAGGTATAACAAGTGCACAGAGTATGAGGCTGCATTCACTTGCCTATTTTGGATATGTGGTTGCTCATTTTCAGCAGACAATTTCTGACCTATTTTATGGTTGCACCATAGGGCACTGTTAAGACAGCATGCCCCATGTGTCAGCATGGATTTCAGTAAGGGCTGGCAGTGTAAGAACCTGGGTTTTTTCCCCAGGCGTGCCACTAGTCTGTTGGCAAACACTGGACAAGTTATGTTATTTTGCTATGGTCAAATATCCCCACCTGTAAACTGGGATAATATGGGCGTCCTTTGTAAAGTACTTTGAAATTTCTTGATGAAAAGTATTACATACAAACTATGCATTACTATCACCACCACCGAGCTCTAATTCTTGGACATAATTTTCTTTACCATCACAAGGTAGCATAAATGATAAAACATGTTGAGACAAACCAGAAAGAGAGCTCTCTTCTTACCTGCCTTAAAGATCCATTCCAAGTACCCATTTAGCTCTCGTTCAATCTGCTGCTGCCTACGGAGCTTCAGAAAGGCTCGGCGGTTTTCCACCCTCTCACGCTCTTTGGCAAATTCACTAGAGAGATGGAAAGAGTGAGAAAGAGAGTCACACAAGGTCAGGGCAAACAACCCCTTCCTCCGTCAATGCACTCCTTCAAACCCTTTCTTAAAGCTCATGATGCTTACAAAATACTTAATGGTTACACAGCTGGCATGTTGAAACTACTGCCTATCATGCTATGTACTACTGACTCACTGCTTCCTTCAGCTCCTCTGCAGGCCTCTCTGTATTCACTTGCTATCTCTAGCCTTATCCTTATCTCTATTGCTTCCTTTTAGTCTATGGGTTTTCTTAGGCTTGTGCTGAGCTTCACAACTGCAAGTTGAACTTGAACCATGAGTGATGACAGGCACTTTGCATCTATGGTCAAAGAGGAAGGGCCTGCTGTGTGCTAGTTACATGGGAGAGAAATATATGAACATTTAAAGCTTACTCCAAGCAGGCCCATAAAGAGGATGCTGACAGGAAGTACCCAAATCACAGATGCAAGCAACAGAAAGACCCATTTTGTCAACCATCTCATCCATCCTCTGGCCAAGAAAATGATTATACGTTATATTTTCAGCCTGCTTTTACATTACCGTGAGGCGGGTGCATCCATCTCTTCCCCTACGGGGTTATTCTGCAACCTGTTCAACTTCACTTCTACAAAGCTTCTGATAGTCAACCTGAATTTTTCTTTGTTGATTTTCAGACCATCATTGGCTCTGTCACAGAGTTTTACATTAGTCTAACACAGTCCCTCCCTATGTTCAGTGGCCAAATTTCCATCTCACTAACAGAGGTAAATCCAAAATAACATCAGTGAAGCCAGTGGAGTACACACTTATGAAAACTGATGTAAAGGAGATCACAATCAGAGCCTTGGTTTTCACACAATGCAAATGCCTACAGATGGTTCTCTTCTCCCCACCCCAGCAGTCATTCTTCAATTTGTTCAGTCCCTGCAGCCCTTCAGCTAAATCTTGTTTTCTTTTCTGTATTTCCATGTGAAGTATCCAAACATAATGTTCAAACATACTCCACAGTTAAAGTCAGGAAGAGTGGGGGGAAAGGGGTTACAGGTGCCTGAGGCACTTTCGTATCATGTCCATGATCTTCATTTCACCTGTCAAAATGGACACTTCTGTTTCATCTGGAGGAACTGTCCAGTCTGTTAAGAAGGGTCTGTAGAGGGGGGCTTGACTCTAGAGCATGACACATCGGTGAAGTAGTTGCCCCTTGCTTTTGGCCCCATCATCTCAGTTTTCTGATTGCCATCTCCTCTTCCCCATCACACAACATAACCTGTGACCCTACTCTTTGGGCAGAGGAGCAGAAGTATCACGCTGT